TTTTTTTTTCAATATTTTTAAATTGTCAATGGACCTTTATAACTTTTGTTTATATCTATAACTCTATCTTGTACTTTCCTTGGGCTTTTTTCTTGTCTTTTTTTTTGGGGGGGGAGGGGTCCTGGAGGTCGAACCCAAGGCCTCACATATGCTAGGCAAGCGCTCTATCACTGAGCTACATCCCCAGCCCCTCTATCTTGTACTTTCAAACTGACTTCCTCTCATTTCCCCTATAATTGCTTATCTATATTGAAAATGAAACTGGATATTAAGGTGATAGCCAGAGAAGCCAGGAGTGGTGGCACGCACCTGCAATACAAGTTACTTGGGAGGCTGAAGCAGGAGGGTCACATGTTCAAGGTCAACCTAGGCAACTCAGTGAGACTTTGTCTCAAAAATATAAAAGGGCTGGGGAAGTAGCTCAGTGGTAGAGCTCCCCTGGGTTTAATCATAGAGCAGGTAGGTGTGTGTGGGGTCACACATCAGAGGAACGACTGACCAGTCTCTACCCCAGAGGAGCTACACAGAGAAGTCGAGGCAAGAAGAAAGAAGAGCTTCTGGTCAACCAAGCACTTCAACACAGGGGACAAAACGAAAAAAGAAAGTGCAAGATGACCAAGGTAAAAGATCTACAAATCCTCTAATCCCACTTCCTCAGGTCCAAGAAGCCTGGAGAATTGTTCTAAAGGCATTGTAAAAATAAGTGAGGACAATGCCTAAGCTTGATTAGGGGTGGAATGTATGGTTGGTTATCGTTGACATTAGAATAATTAGGTAAGACACCTACGCTGTGCCTGACCAGTAATATATGCTCAGTAAACCCTAGTGACCATTAGTGCCCTTCCAGTTTGTGTCTGTCCTGGAGGTGTGTTCTGAGAACATTTATCGAATGGTGATTGTGAGTGAGGTACCATAGCAGCAGAATGAACAGAAACAGTAGAGCTAAGGAGTCAATATGCACAGGAAGATCCCAGGGCTGCCCTGTCTGGTGGGGGTAGGGAGGCAGAATTGTGGGGGTTAGTGGTGGTTTGTGTTGTATTGCCAGGTGTTTATTTATTTTTATTTTTATTTTTTTTTTATTGTTGGTCGTTCAAAACATTACATCTAATTTGATATATTTCACAGTTTGATTCAAAAGGGTTATGAACTCCCATTTTTACCCCGTATACAGATTGCTGAATCACATCAGTTACATCAATTACATTTCCATTGATTTACATATTGCCATTCTAGTGTCTGATGAATTCT